AGAAGAAAAGGCTGAGATGAGAGGGAGGATCAGCCCCGCTGTGAGCTGGAGGTTGCAGCAGGTGTCCTCTAGAGGTCCCTTCCAGCCTAAATTTATTTGTGATTCTGTGTTACAAAGTCTGCTAAATTGTGATGGCAGTGGATGCCGACCTGCTAGTTACCTAATGGGCACGACTAGAACCAGAGGGGCACTCAGCTGGAAGGAAATCAGCTCAAAACATGGGGTAGCTTCCTTACAGAGCAGGTAGTAAACTTCTGGAATTTCTTGCCCCAGGTTGTTGAGGCAGATGGTATCAGCAGAAGGTTTTGGGGTTTGTTGTTTGTTTTTTTTTTTAAAGGTAAATTTATGGGGAACAGAGCCATAAGGAATTTTAAGGGGAGGGGGGAACAGAATGAAGCATCTGACTCCCATAATCTCCTCGTGGTGGATACTGGGGTAGAGGGAGGGGATCAGAGAGCAGAAAGCACGTACGGGCACTGCAAGTGGTGGTTTTAGCGAGACGCCTGTTGGACAAGGGGACGGGAGCTGAGGGCGTGTTGCTGAGGCTTTCTCACACCTCGGTGCTGGGGGGAAGGGATGGCGACGGGCCCTTTGGCTCGCTTCCTCCATCGTGTGCGGCTGTTAGGGGAAGAGGTGTCAGCATGGGGAGGGGACAGCAGTGTGAAACCTGTTGTTGGACAGCCCAGAGAGGTTATTTGTATTCAGTGTCACCAAATGTCCCCAGCAGAGCTGGGAAAACCGCTTCATCCACAAAAGTGAGCGGGTGCCCAAGTTTAAAATAGTGCTTGTGGGCTTAACCCTCCTGTCGCTGCTGGAGGGTAAAAATGAACTTTAAGAAACTCCCAAAACTCAGAGCTAGGAACAGCTTCCAGGTTGGACGTGCCCCATGGCACAAGCTGGGGGGGTGCAGTGCCGTGCTGCTGTCGGCCACTGTGGGCTGGGGCTGGGTCGCAGCGTGTCAGCCAGAGGTGTTGACCTACCACCTACTTGAGGCATGAGCATCTCCCCCGTGTTCAGTACCTGCAGGTCTCGTGTAAGAGATAAATACTTCACGAATGGTCCCCCAGGCCAAGTAGAGTGAAGGAGGTGTACCAGCATCTCTCTGAGGCAGTGTTGTGGAGGAAATTGCAGAGGGGTTACTGCTATCATGTCTTTAAAGCAAACCCTTCTGGGACATTAAGGGAAGATGGGGTGCTGCAGAGAGTAACGGCTGCGCAGCGTGTAAAGGTGAGCTGGGATTATTGCTAGAAGGCATTTGAAACAAGTAGCAGTGCTCTGCTAAAACACGGCTGCCGTGCACTTGGGTGCTCCCTGGGTTTTGGGGGGGACTGTGCTTGAGTAATAACATGCATAGTTGTATGAATGCAATGGTTTTATCCCAGCGCTCGTGAGGGAGATGAGGCGGCAGGGAACTGAGCCTGCAATTTGAAACTGGTTTCCCTTCCGGCCAGCCATTCACCTGACCCGTGTACTCTGCTGGACTCCTACCTTCGCTGCTCTGGGCCCCCGCTGGAGCGGGCCGACCCTGGGCTCAGCATCTTTGGCACATCCGTGGCATTGAAGTATCAGGGTGCTATGAAGCTTGTGGGAAAGCCACGTGAACGTGAGGAGTCATTCTCCTGTGGGTAGCAGGGAGCCCTGGCAGCGCTCCAGGACAGCCCTGTGTTCTGATGGTGGGAACAGCGTACAAGTCAGCCCGCTACCGTAGTAGCGAGGCAACGCTATGGGTAGGGGCCACGTTTGGACTGTGTCATCGCCTGGGTTTTTTTTGTGGGGAGGAAATGTGGGAAGCGAGAAATGTTTTTTCTCTCTGGCAATGCAGGTTATTTCCAAATCAGCTGGACCTTGCTACACGGGGGAGCTGATCTTGCTGGGATGGGCCTCATTTTCAAAGGCAAGTCTGTCTTTGAGCATCACCTTTTTAGCCACAAAACACCATAAATCTGTACACCAGTGCAGCCAGCAATGCAGATCTGTGTTCCCTGGGCTCCTTACCGGCCCCAGCTGGCCTGGGACACAGGTGGCCGCAGCACCAGCAGCAGGAGGAGAGCTGCAAAGCTGAAAAGCACCTCGTGATGTTGCTGTGGCCCCCTGTGGAGGCCTGCGTGCCAGCCCTGGCCTCCGAGACCCAGGCTGGCCAGTCCCCAAAGCACAACTCTCCCACGGCCAAGTTGACACCAGGGCGGGAGGGGTAAGCTGGTGCACTAAGTCTGGTTATGTTGCCCACGGCTCACAGCAGAGCTGGGCACCTGCGCTTGGGGCATGGGTGGTTTGCAAGTTAATCCTCTGTACCCTGCTGCATCCGTACACCTCGATGGTGCAACCAGGCTCTCGGGTGTGTCAAGATACCACAGGCACAACTGGGCATTTCCTTTGTGGATGCCTTCCATACGTGGCGGTGGGTTGAAAGGGTGTGTTGAAAACTAGTGTGTTCACAGCAGAGGTAGAGAGGAAGAAAAGAGACAAGTTCAAGAGGCGCGTTTGCAGTTGCAGAGACTGGGTTTTTCCTGTTGCATCGGGAAGAGCAAAAGGCAACAGGATGGTGCTGGGCAACACAGCCAGAGAGCTGGCCCACAAGTGTCCTAGGGCCTGTGTGAGGACAGCCGGGCAGCAGCCTGTCAGCAGGACCCTGCAGAGGTAGGTGTCCCAAATGGGGGCCTGGTTTTGTCTGTCTGAACCTTGTTTTTTGTTGGAGGAGTTGCTGGTATCCGGGCAAAAGACAACCGGTCTGGATTTGTGCATAGTGCCAACAAAATAAAAAGGCAATCTGCTCAAACTGGGGCTGGGGTAGCGCCTGTGTGTTTGGGACTCAGGAGCACGAAAGCTCCCTTGGCAGCCAGGGAGGTTTTGAGTCCTGCCTCTTTCGGTATTTGCCTCGCAGGTGTGTGCTGAGTCAGGGCTGTGGCTTGGCCAGATTTGTGCAGCACAGGAAGGCTGGGAATGTTTCTGGGCAGTGACCCTTCCCAGTGTTGCGCTTAATACAGGGAGAGCCAGAAGCAGCGCTGTGTTTATTGAGCACAGTTCTGAAGGCAGTTGATGATACTGTAAAATTAATTTTGTGACTCATATGCTGCTTCTTGCTAGAGAGCTACCCCCCTACCCCTTTGCTGCAGAGAGCAAAGCTGTTGCTTTTCCCCAAAGCAACAAAAAAAGAAGCTCCTCTCCTCTGGTGCGCCTGGGGCCGAGGCAAGCTCAGCAGTTAGCTCAGTCACCGCAGAGCTCTTCTGGCAGGGCTGGCGCGAGCTGGGGACGTGTCTGGTGTGGGGGCAGCGCAGGACCTGCTCTTGTCCTGTCGCTTTTCGGGAGGGGAAAACGGTGAGAAGGAAAGCTCCTACCTTCTCACCAAGTGACTCGCAACCACGCCTGTAGCACATCTGTTAGAGGAGACCTGCTCCAGCAGCACCTAAATCTCTCCTTACGCCCAGCTTCCCTCCCTTCTGTTCCAGCCAGGCCCCTGCCAGCTGGCACAAGCAAACACCTTCCTTTGCCCAGCCCTGTGCTAACTCCTCTCCTTGTGCGCGTCTGCAAACGGGTTGGGGCTGTAATCGTCACGAGTGCCTGTGTGCCGATGCTGCCGAATGGGGTAGGGGGGAATGTGCCCTTTAAACTGGGAGGGAAGGAGCGTGTGGAGGGGGAGAAGCCAGTGGAAGGTGAGGCTTAGATTTATTGCTGTGGGATGACAATGCCGTGGCACTTCGGTCCCCATCTTCTCTTCTTCTCCCCAGCGTGTCTCATACCGCTGGATGCCAACTAAAATAAGCTGTAGTCCCACCACAGAATTCTCCCCACGGTTTTGTACCGTGCAGGCCAATATCGTCAGAAGGGTCACGAGTGCCCTGGCTCACCTCTCTCCGACTGCATACACAGCCGGAGCTCTTAGCAGCTGCTCCCTTCAGGACAAGCTGGACGATTCTAACTGCTGCTCACATGCAGCGAGCACAAGTGCACACAAAGACTCCCTTCTGTGCAGAAACCGCGGGTGCCTGGCTTGGCTGTCAAGGGGTGTGAAAACTACCTGGCTCTAGTCTTTCCCGTGCTAATGTTGTTATATCTAGTGTTGGAAATCGGGGCAGTTATTTTTATTTAGAGCTGTTATGCTGTGTAATTTAACTGAAAAAGATGTGTGCCTTGAAGTGGGTTTGAAGTAGTGAGCACCAGTATCATGGAAATCCTGCAGCGACGGGGTATTTTGCTAGGGGTGTGCTAGGTGAAGCCCTGAGACTTCTCCTGGCTGGAGAAAACTAAGCAGCGGGAAGAGAGTAAAGACAGGGACTAGTAATACCGTAAGGATGACAGGAAGGGCTGGAAGGGAAGGAAGGCGCACACCCCTTTGAGAAATGTGGCCTCGGGAGGCGGTTTCCAGGACACTGGTAGGAAGAGAGCAGAAACCCAAGAAAAGTTTGTCGCAGTGGACTGTGCACAACGAAAAGGATGGCACCTCAGAGGACAGGAGGCAGGAGGGGCCGGCTCCTCCTGAAGCGCACAAGATCAAAGCCAGCCGGGAAAAAGGCGAGATTACAGAGCAGAATCTATAGTGTAATCTATGAGCTTAGAGGAAAGAGCGGAAATGAAGTCTGTGCTAACCTTTTTATTATCAAATGTGATTTTCAGTGGAAGGGATGTCAGGCAAGCAGGAATCGACAGCCAGCCTGGGTGTGGGAAACTTGACTCTTCAATGGGGCGTTCAGAATATCAAAAAGGAGACGGTTACAAGACAGGTGAGGTGGAGCGGTGTCTTGGCCGTGCACCGAGTGGCCCGTACTCAGCCTCGAAGGGGACCAGCCTGGTGACTGAGGAGGGAGTGAGGAGCACCAGAGCTGGGGCTAAAGCTGGAACCGCTGTAGAGGCAATGAGTTTGTTGCGCAGCTCCCCTGGCACCCCGGCTGCCCAGCCACCCTTAAAGCCATTTTCTCACAGGTCTGGCACAGAGCAGCTCCCTTGCAGCCTCCGGGTAAAACCGATCCTGAACTCAGGTGAAAAGCACAAAACAAGACTCGGAATCCAGGACAACTTTCTTTATTGCTACCAGAAGGCTTTCATCAGTACAATGGCTCCAAATACGATACCTTTCTCAGGGCTGTGGAGAGAGCTTACAATTGGGACAGGTCATTCTGAGAAACAGAGGTATAACATTTAAGAGACAAGTTTTTAAAGGTTTTACTCTTGGTTAGAAGTTACATGAACACAAAACTTTAGGGTTAGGGTCTTTTGTTTTGGTTTTGTGGCTGATAATTACACGCCTTTCAAACCTCAGGCGTATGTAGCTGCCCCAGCACCTCACCGAGCGTGTGCTGGTCACATGCTATGCTTATAAACATCTGGGAAAAACACAGACTGCAGAATTTAAGGTTTACACTTGACGTAGAGAGTCAAGCGTTGGTGAAAATCCACACTGAGTGCAACGTTTCTTGGTGCAAACAAAAAAAAGAAAAACCGTTTTTGTTCAAGTGATACAAAATCCATGAACTGCTTTCGGGGTTGGAAAACACAAACTGTTTAACTTGGAGAAGTCTCCGTGTAAGTAAGGTACAGAGCACAGCGGCTGGCCGCCCTAGTGTTCTTCTAGAGTACCTTCACACTCCTGTGGTTATACTTAAGTGTGGAGCAGCTTGCCAGAGTTGTTTTTGGTTTTTTCCTGACTAACCTTTTATTTAAATCCAGTTTTTAAATATTATCACATTTAAACACCAAAGTGCTAACAAAACAAAAAAGGTCTTTTTGTTTAGAAAGGAAAAAGAAAGTTGTCGTGAAGGTCAGGTAGTACAGAACATCATGCACAAGACTTGCTGAGAATTAAAAGAGGAGCAAGCAGAAAGAGAGCGAGGAGCAGATGGAAATCGGATCAGAGAGGTGTTAGTTGGCTGGCAAACCTGGAACAACTCTGCACGACTGATGTGAGCTCTTGGACGTGGAGAATGGGTTACAATACACAGGAGCAGAAAAACAGTGGAACTGACAACACTAGGAAGAAACAATTTTTTGCTACTTTTTTTGTTTGGTTTTTGGGTCTTTTTTTAGATTTTTTATACTTTTTTGTGTTTTTAAGTGCTTAAATAGTGGAACTATAATTAGCCGCACGAGAAAAAAATTGAAAGAAGGGTTGGGATTTTTTTTTTTTTTTTTGGCTCTTTTTTGTGTTTTTAAGTGCTTAAATAGTGGAACTATAATTAGCCGCACGAGAAAAAAATTGAAAGAAGGGTTGGGATTTTTTTTTTTTCTGTTTTTTGGCTCCCTTCAGTTCAGCCTGACAAGGTATGGCCCCTTCTCCCCCCCACTGAGAACGCAGGATGCCAGGTTCTGCGTGGTTTCTAGAGTAGCTATGGTGGAGCAGGTGGTGTGCACTCACAGCTACATAACAGACACGGGCTGTAAAGGTGGACAAGGGGAAACGTTGCCCTCCTGCCTCGAGACATCAGCGCCACAAACAGAGCCCACGTTTTCAAGAGCCACTACCTCTGGAGCGATGTCTTCGTTGTAGAGACGCTTGATACCGTCGTAGAAGTCATCCACTTCCATCTCTTCCACTTTACGCTTGGCAGAGGCTTGCTTGCAACCGCTGGGAGCTGGCAGACGCTGGTAGAGCGCGGCTGTACCTGTGACTGGCACTTCTGGCCTGCCGTTGTCCTTGGAGAAACCTGGCCCTGGGACAGAGGAGGGCTGGCATTTGAACACTCCTCTGTTACAGGTCACCAGGGTATGCTGGAGGGGACTGTAGACATATACAGAATTGGGCAGCAGAGAAGACTGCAGAGTGGAAAGGTGATGTGCCACAAGCTCCCGGCAGTGGATCAGCTGCGAGCTATCCATCTGGAGTGGGAAGACAAGCAAAGATACCGGCATTCGCGGGATCACTGCCGTGGAGAGGAGAGGCTGTCAGCCAGGGCAGGGCTAGGGCTCTGAACACACCGGCCACCCGCGCACCTCACTTCTTAATGACATGCTGGATGCAGGAGAAAATAAGTGATAAAGGATCGGAAAGACCCCCAACATGACGACCTTGTAAGATACGGACCCCTGCTCCTTCTTACACCTCATGGGAATAGCGGGGGGGGAAACCTGTCAGATATTAAAAGGTTTCACTGCATGCTTTTAGCAGCTCGAGTGTGTGTCTTTCCGGTACTTGTCAGACCAGCCCGTATGCTTACAATGAATGGCGGAGTGGCAAACTAGAATTTTCTCCCCAGTGTGTTATTTTTCTCCCTGGTGCAGAGAGAGCCCGTATACATCAGGTGCTTTGTCACCTGCTGCATGCAGTCAAGATCAAGACTCTGCAGAACTGTCCCTTCAGGCTGAAGCATGACCGTCCTCGCAAAAGCGTAACTGCAGGCAGAGATCGGCAGCTAGGGAGCTGAAAGCCCCGGTTGACTTGGATCACTGGAGTACTGAGCAAGATGCAGCCTTCTGTGGCCCCTGGTCCCTCCCTGCCGCAAGGCGCGGTGCCAGCACCCCCTCACCTGTGCCTTCTGGAGCAGCTCGATGATGAGAGCCAGCCAGTCGGGGAGCAGCTTCTCCAGCTCCAGGCTGACAATGGCCAGCGCCAGCATGGAGCCCTTGAACTGCAGCAGCTGGTAACAGGCCATGCAGTGCAGCAGCTGCTTGGTGAGCGCCGCCACGTGCTGAGAGGGACTCAGCTTGGGCAGGATGGTCAGTAGCTGAGGCCTGCTGGACACCGCAACTGCGTGGAACTGGGGGGGGAAACAAGCACATGAGGCAGCTGGTGTCACCGACAAGGCAACCCCCACAGGCAAAGCCAGGTCAGACCTCAAGAATGGCATGCGACATGTCTTTGACGCACAAGGATCCTCCAGCTTAACCTTCAAGGCAATTTCCACACCATGGAAAAAAAACAGTGCGTTGAACCCACCGACAGCTTGGTGCAGCCCTTCTGGCGGGACCTGCCATCATACACGTCATCTGCCTGGGGACCAGGCTTCTCAGGGCTCTGCAAAAGGCTATCCCCTTCCACCCTTCTCTCTCAACAACACAGGTTTGGCAGTTCAGGTGTCCCAGACAAAACCTCCTCGAGCAAGCAGAGAGGATGAAATCCAACAGAGAACCTCAGAACGCTTTCCTTCCCTTTGTCTTAACTCATCCACGAGTCTGGTTCTCTGGCCGTGCCTCTCTGTAGCCGGCACAGAGCACACCCATTGCCCAGCAGAGGTGCTTCCTCCATGGTTGTACTTACTGTTTTCATGCTGCCTGGCATTCAGCTTTGAGCAAAACCACTAGAAATTAAGACTTAGGGGGCAGGTTTTTGGGAGCTGTGAGTCTTAGCGTGTGGTTTAACATGCTTCAAAACAGGTCAGATGGCAGGCCCATGTTTTGGAAATTGCACCCAAAGTGTCACAAGTCTGCTCTGAAATTCTCTGGCAAGGCTTTTTCTTTCAGCAACTACTTGTATGGAGGAGTTGCGAACACATCCTGAGGTCTTCACTCTCCTACAGGTAGAGTTTTTGTCTAGGTACCTTATTTACACCGACAGACACTGGAAAGAATGTAAATAGCCCCTTACTTACAATATGAAGGAAATCCAGTGGCGTTGCCATGTGAAGATCCCAGTTCAGTTTATCCAGGATAATCTTCTCCATTCTGCGAATTTCAGCTGGAGAACAACCACAAAAGCTATCCCGAGCCAACACCTTCAGTACTGGAATCCTCTGCAAAAGCCAACGCAAAAAAGACACGAGAGAACCAATCACTATAGAAATTACACAAAACGCTTCATTCCTGTCCTGGCAAGCGTCAGCCGCCATGTGCAAGGAAAGGCAGGACTGGAAGAGTATCTATTCAGACAATGCTAAGGTAGTAAGAACAAAAAATTACCTCATCTTCCTCAATGGTCTTTGCAGCAAGGAAGAAGCAGCTGATTGCAATACAGTTCAAGTACTTTGGACGGGCCTATGGTACAGAAGAGCAGAGAAGTCTCTGTGTGAATGTGATGCAAAAACGATGCCTAATCCTTTCTGGCTGGACATCCTAAGCCCCAGGGTCTCAGCTGCCTGTGCGACGCGTTCTGGATCAGCAGGCTGACCTCCAGCTACGCCACGGCGGTGGCAAGCCGTGCCAAGCAAAAATCCGTAGTCCATGACATAAGGCAGAACAGCAATCTGCCAGCCCCATGATCGTAATTGGCACCCACTGATGTGCGGCGCTGGAGTGGAAAGAGCTTTTTTTTAGGCAGTGCAGTAGAAACAAGAAGGAGAAAATCAGAAGGGCCAGATTGTCACCTGGGAAAAAAACATTGCCACTCCACCTGCTTCAGCAGAGCTCTGCTGTTAGTGCTGCTGGGGGCCAGACACAGAATAGGAAGGAAAAGAAGAGAATCTAAAAATGCTGTCCTTGCCTAGGGAAGTGTAAAACACCCATAAAAATCACCACTCACGTAATCTCGCACTGCGGTTCTCAGAACTGTGGCCCAGGGATCATCGAGGGAGAGCTGGTCCCTTCTACAGTGAGTTGTTTAGGCAAGGTAAGTGAAATTTGGAGGGGAAAGGGTGATTTTTTTTTTTTTTCATGTGCATCAAAAACTCCTTTTATGGGCCTCGGGTTGGGGGGTGAGGGGGGAAGCAGGATGCATGGGCTGTAAATATTCAGATAGTCCCTGTGGTGGACCCAGACTAAGCACACGCTCCAAATACGGCGCATCTGCTGGAGTTTTTGCTTAGCAGCGATCTTTGTCCATCTGACCGTCTGACAAAGGACTGCACTTCCAGCATGAGCGTAAAAACCACAGGATGTGTCCACCTGCTCCTTAGTGGCTGGGGGTTCGGAAGTGCAGAGGCACTGTTTCTAAACCTTGTCGCAGCCGAGTGAATAGACAGCTGCAGAGCCATGCCCCCAGCCCTCCAATAGCCTACTGGCAACTGGTCCTCTCCTGTCCACGTTAGGAGATGCTGAAAGCAAAGGTAAGTGAAAATCCTGCACTGAATGCGAAAGGCTACTTACAGCCAGAACTGTTGCCGTGATTTTATTCTTGCTAGGTAAATTTTAGCAGATGCAACAGAGCTATGGGGTGGCTGAAGGGTGAGATGCTGCACGTTACGCTCATGCAGTGAGCTGTCAGGAAATCCAGAACACTGCTTCCAGAAAGCAGCAAGAGAAGAACACAGGATCGTGTCCAAATTGAAGAGCTTCACCAACGTTCAGCCTCAGTTACTTACAAAGGGCTATACTATGCCTAGAGCTTTGGCGTTCTAGTTTGGCCATTTAAACTTCAACTTAAATATGTGTAGAAAATCCACGCTTGGGGGCGGGGGTGTGCATGCACACGTCTGCTTGCGCATTCAGGTGTCACTGAAAGCAAAGAGAATAAACTCCCTTAGGGCAAGACTGGAACTTGTTCTTGACCATGCAGGCAGGTTCAAAGAAAACTGTCCAGTCAGCACAAAATAACGTACAGCAAAGAAGGACACCTTCTGTGTCGTATTCAGGGAAAAGCAGGTCTCTAGAGCAGGTTCCTACCATCAGGGAAACTTTTTCTCCCCTATTTTCTCCCCATTATTTTTAACAATAATTTTGTCTCCTTTTTTTCCCCAAGTGCATCCCCTCTAGAGACTGACCTGGAAGGAACAACTGTGTCTTTTGCCAAAGCATGTTAAAACCCAGTCGCCCATCCTGGTCTCCTACGGGAGCTTCTACCTGTCTTGCCTGCTCCTCATACATGGGCAAGTGCTGCTGAGATTGGCTGTAAACACGGCTCCGCTGAGGGTTAACGAGTGCTGTGCAGTGAGTTACACCAGAAGCTGCTGGCTGGGCCTCCAAAGCATGACTGGGTAACAGCCTTAGGGGCAGCCAGTCCGAGCAATTTCAAAGCGTGTTCACGGTGAAAGGAAGGGACTAGTTGTCTTAATAATCAAGTCCCACACGGTAGCGCCTGGTAAAAAAACAGGAGTTAAGCTGCGTCAAAGGAATGACGGCTTTATGGGAGCGGAAAACTGGGGGAGGGAGCACGAAGCCCTGAGCTGTTTGAACCCAGACAAAACACCTTTCCACATTGCCGCTCACTGCCTGAAGCACGCAGTGGACTCCTTAGTCATATTCTCGTACTTTCTTAGCAGACTCCTTGGCTGCTGCAAATTACTGAAAGAAAAACCATACTCGAGGGCATTAGCTGTCGAGGGAGTTAAACCTATTTCCCATCTCCGTGTTTCAGGAAATCAGCTACTTTGAGCTCTCCTTAAAAATAAGAACTTCCATGGCTTGTAATTAAAATATCAATATTTATTAATACTCGAAGGGTAGGTTAATGGATGATGTCACTTGCATTCTACCAAACTAAGTCACATTGAAATGTAAGTGCACAGGCTGAGAATACATTATTCTGCTTAGATCTCCGAAGCTATATTGCTTACCTAACAGTGTTGGTGATGAGATTAGACACACAGGCAGATGAGACTGGGGATTTGCTGAGCACGGAATGTAACTGAGCAAATATGGCAAGAGATAAGGCTACCCACAGCCTGACTTCACAACTCAAGGCCAGGGATTTCGGGTTGACCCACAGTTTGTTCAGTCACTTGCGCGGGGCCAAAACATGGCCCAAGCACAGCACATCTAACATGCTTCCGTGGCAGACTTGCAGAGACAGAAGAGCAGCGGATCCCAGTTGCAGGTAGCCCAAATGCTGATTTTTAACTTGTCTTTTTTAAGCAGTTTCTAGGGCATAACAGCCTTAAAACCAAACGGGCATATATATATATATTTTCCATTCTGTTCAGCACAGCAGGAGTGGACAGCCTGTCATTCTGATGGCCTGCACCCATGCTTGCTTACCTTTCTCCTTCACATCTGTCTGACCTGACATCAGCCTTAAGCTCTTAGTCTGTCAGACTGGCTATACAGCAGGTTAGTAGTGAACTACTCCCCCAGAAAGCAATCCCTTCTGGCTGTATCTTCTTCCCCCACCTTTTTTGTTTCATTAGCACGCTTGTCAGGCCCAAACTTGTCCTCAAACATTTATTTGTTTCCTCCAGCTAGTTCACTGCTAGCAGGTGCTCCCAGCAATTCTAGGTGGTAGAAATGAGATTAAATGCAGTTAAAACACCAGAGAAATTAAAAGGTGAGCAGGGGCTTTCCCTGACTTTTCTGTCAGAGGGCACTGGGCCTTGATTTCTAACTGCAGGCTAGTAGGCATTTCGTTTAGGTTAAGGTAGAGACTGTTCTCTTTAGATATAAAGCATAAGGTCTATGCAGCCTCTTTTTCTGGTTACTTAAAGGAACAGGTACTGTGCCGAGGCAAATTCAATATTCAAACCAGGTTAAGAGCGAGTGTGTAATTGAAGAGGAAGGTGCTTCTTTTCTCTGAGGTTAATGTACATTTAAACTAATGAGCTGCATTACCTGAAGGAAATGGGCAGAACAGAGGAGAGAGGGAAAATATTCTTGGCAGGTATAAGGACTGGGTCAGTTTCCCGAGAACTGTGTGTTCTCGTTAAAGCCATGGTTATTTTCACTGGGCGAAAAACGACTACGGAAAGAATCTACCTCCAAAAGTTCCTGGCGGCAGTGTGTGCTGCCAGGTCCACAACCCGAAATTAAGCTCCTGGAGTAGTGCAGGTACCATCCTATACATGTGTGAGAGCAGAGGGGGAAGTAAGCGCTTCCGTACAGCCCCACCACTAGGACTGTACACAAAAATAGTGGAGTGGGTGGTATAAATCTATTTCAGTTTATGTATGCGTGAATATTTACCTTTACTGCAGCTAAAAACCTGTCCAAAAGGCTGATGGCCAGGGCGAGCGTTTCTGGATAAAGGTGGAACTGGTATTTGAGCTTGGCCAGCCACTGAATGACCTCATCCCTCTGCTTTGGAGAAATGGCTACATCCTGTTGGAGAGAAAAACAAACTGTTCTTATACACAGGCTGAGCAAGTCAGAAAAGACCAAACATTTTACCTCCGCAGGAGATAGTCAGCACGGAAACAAAGCCTCCTTTGGAAAGGGGGAGGCCCTCCAGCCAGCCTCAATCACCACTTTGTTCTTGCAGTTACTTACCCCATCCCAAGAAACAACTTTCCTTACAGCCACCTCAAACATCACTCAAACTTCACTGTACGTTGGGGAAAAGAGGAAGGATGTCTTGTACTTTCTCAAGTACTGACAGGGTGTTCTCTGGCTTAGCTCTTAAGAGATTTTTTTTTTTTTTGACCTTCTTCGAACCATGTACCTACACAGAAATGCCCAGCTTGAACAAAACCAGACGTGCTATGGCAGCCTGGCTGGTGCACAGCTCCAGACAAACAGGAGAGGGGAGGGACTGAGTTGGTGTTTTGAGAGGAAAGGTTTATTTTTCCTTCAAATTATGGGGATATTTTTAGCTCAGTATATGTTAAAAAAAGAAAATTCCGAATAGCTTACAAAAGACTTTTAGCAGTACTGTTAACTGTGAACGGGGGTGAAGCAGTTACAATTTCACCTAAACCAGTTTGGGTTTGGTTGGGGTTTTTTTTAACTTTTTGGCTCAAGTCATCACCATTGATCTGTTTGGACAACAGCTGAAGTTCAGCCACACGTACAGATCGGTCATTGACATAAAAGCTTTCTCTCTGACTTTCTTCAGAAATATTTTTCAGCTTTTCCAGAGCCTTTCAATTCAATGAAGTACATGAATTTCACCTAAACCAGTTTGGGTTTGGTTGGGGTTTTTTTTAACTTTTTGGCTCAAGTCATCACCATTGATCTGTTTGGACAACAGCTGAAGTTCAGCCACACGTACAGATCGGTCATTGACATAAAAGCTTTCTCTCTGACTTTCTTCAGAAATATTTTTCAGCTTTTCCAGAGCCTTTCAATTCAATGAAGTAGATGTCGGGTCTCACTTCAACAGGGATTATTTGGGGTGATTAGCAAGGATGTGTTCAGATGTGAAACCAAACAACTTCTGCTACACTCAGGCTCCTTGTGCTCTTTTGGCTACTGCTGAGATGGTTTAAGAGAGAGAAACCCCGTGATCTGCTGGCTGGCCAGTTACTGTGAAAAAGAAAGTGAAAGGCTTGCGCAAACAAACATCACTGCTGTGCTGGGTTGTAGCTGTCCTCCCAGCAACACCACGGGGGGGGGGGGAGTAGCAGAATTTTAGAAAATAAAAACACCCAATGTTGATGCAAAAGAAATACTTCAGGCTACATCTATCACCAAAGTACCTACCGCGTGCCTTACAGCAACAGTAACGCGCTTTGTTACAGGTGTACTGACTCTCCTGCCTTGGAGTCAAGAACGTGTGTGAAAGCAGAGCGTTGTAGGCAGAACTGTAATTACACGAGGGCCTCCGCGAGGACACCAGCTACGCACCTTTCATTGTTACTTGCAGTATGCCATCTTTATTCTGTGCTTAACGTCCTTACTGGTGCTGAGCTCCACCGCTGCCACCGAGTGGGACAGAAGGGCAGGGAAGGTGGCAGGGCTCGAGCCCCCAGGGCTGAATTCTGCGCTGTCGGATAGTGGGTGCGCAGCCGGTTACTGCTGCTCACGGACACACGTCTGGCCAAAACGTAGCCACCCAATTCCCTTAGAAAAAGTACAACAGTAACAGTGCTACTGTAGCAGGGATCTAGCCTAAAGATGCAGGGTTGTGCAATCCAAAGCTGTTTCTTCCAGCTGTACTAGCTAGGCCAATAAAGCAATACTACCTCTGCCTGCAAAACTGTGCCTTCAGTGCCATACCAGGTGCTCCCCTGAGCAGAACAAAGTCCTGCCTTGTTTTCTCTCCTGAAGCCCCGGCGGTGCGATGGCGTCAGCAGGACTATGTGTCTGATCCAGATGGGTCTCTGGCCTCAGCTGGGACCTCTGGATGCCACCTGACTATAGCATGGCTTTTTAAAAAGCACCTACCATTTTTCAGGAGAGAAGAGAAAATTAGTTTTCTCAACTCCAAGAAATAATGACTCTTTCTAAAGTTGTTATTGCAATTTAAGGGTGAAATCCAAGCCCCACCAGGGGCAGGACACCGGCTCTCTGCAACACTTCGCACTCGTTCCAGAAATGCTAGTCCGACATGCACTGGGAGTATAATGAATACACCACACAGCAGTAAGGAGTTTATTAAATGCTCTGCTAAAAACATCTTTTGGACAGCAGGATAGGGACCTAGAATGTATCTGGGGAGAAAAATGGGCAACACCATGTTATTTACTGGCTGTCCTTATAGAGCATACTTCTCCCGTAGCAAAGCGAGGCCTGCACAGCTGAACCTAAAACAGGCAGAAAAGGGAGGAGTGATAGTTAAGAGGAAGTTCCTTATTGCTTTATTCATTACACCTATTTTTAAATGGAAGGAGGCAAAGCCACACAGAAGGGCTTATAGCCACGGCCAGGTTTGGACAATATTGTGGACTTAAAAGGTTTCAAACAGCTTAAAGGATTATTTTGGAAATGCAGTATCTGGGTGAATCCAGCAGGTAAACTCGCCCACTAAAAGCCAACCTGAAACCACCCCATCAAACAAAATAAACTCGACTTCAAAAACCTGCCTCTGACTCTCAAATCACTGCCCTGGTCCTGCCGCAGCGGCTTTACTGATGAAGCCAACAGAAACAGGCTTGGGCCCTTGGCCGGCAAGGGGAGAGCTGGATCATCAGTGCAGTGTCAACGGGGCGGTAGCCGCTGTCTCCCCCGCGTTCCCTCCTGCGATACAACATCTGCTCTAGAGGAGGGGGCGACAATGGCATCTGTTGCGCTCCTTTCTGGGGCGGCAGGGCAATGCCTCAGCAGCACGGGGGCATTTTTCCCATCCCCTTCCGTTCCTGGCACATCCCATTCCTGCTAGATCCCGGCAGAAGTGGGCATCAGCTTCAACAGCTCCTGGTGGTGTCTGTCCTGGCTCAGCGCTGTTTTCCCTGTGCCTGCCAAAGCAAAAGGTTAGGCCTTCTCCTAAAAACAGCATGGGTGGGAAGGGTAAGATCGTCTTTCCATGCTGCCTCTCAGTCTCCAGTCCTCCCAAGATCTGTCCTCGTATCTTCTTGCCCTTCATGGGCAGCGTGAGGCCGAAAGGCAAAATTTCAGACTGAGGAGTTAGCTTTAAATGGCAAGGCCGTAACATAAAGAATAGCAACTGTACCCTCAGTCCCTGGTAACAGCTGTCCTTTCCGTGTGAAAAAGAAACGGTGTTGAATCTAAACCACTGAAAAGCAACAGTGTGTCTACACAAAGATACAACATTAAAACAAACAAAAACCAGCCCCCACACAGAGCACCATGTTCCTTTAATATGAAGAAACAACTGCAAAGTGAACTCGCATCTAAGTATATGCACAGCAGAAGTAAGGCTTCAAAATAAAATCTGGCTTCTTAAGAACTATCTGGGGAAGCAAAGGAAAGGAGGTGAATCTTCAGCTCTTTTCTCCAATAACGTCAACCCCACAAAAAATTTGTCTGCTCCAGTCTCTAACTGCAAATAAAGGAGCACAAGGGTGGGGGGAGAATCCCCTCACACAGAAAGACCAGGTGAATTTAAACCTTTTCCCATCAGCGCTAGGAAAGTTCGTTATGGACCATTTTAAGAGGCGGGCAGAAGGAGTAAGAACTGGTCCCACCACACCCACAAACCCTGCTGCTACTTCCAAGCAGGGCAAGGAGCTTCCCACGCAAGTGTATCGGCCTTTATCCCTCTCCCTCGAAGGTGTACCCATGTCATCCCAGTAACACAAATAAGAAATGCAGCACTGTAAAGTTAATTAAGCAGCGAGGTCATTGTTCCTTAGTTATGTAAAATTAAAAGCGAAAACGAGACACTACTGTGGCTGCAAGTAAAAAAGTCCCTTTGGGCTGGAAAGCAAAAGTTCCTCTTTGGTGTGGAGGTACTTCCGCCATAGACGTCGCCTTCTGCCACTCACCCCGTCTGTGTGTGGCCAGCTCTTCGTTTTGTCGCCACAAATCCACCGCTGCAGAACTTAACCCCCAGGGTGGAAGAGCACGATAGCCTAGCGTGACGGATTTCAGTAGGGAAAAGTAACCCAAGCCCAGCAACGGCAGACTCGGTTTTCACACAGCAGCAGCAGGTTGCTCCGAGACAGACCGAACAACCGCCCTCGGGACTGAAGGACAATCCGTCTCCTCTGGCTGGTGCTTCCCCCCCCCTCTTCTTTGGAGAGGAGGCCAGAGCAGAGCGAGGCCTGACCTACAGATCTGGTTGCCCATCCCAGTGCCAAAGGTTAGCAGACGTGCGCATGACTCCCGCCGTCAAAAAAGTGACAGCACTCCCGGCTCAGTCACGACCAGGATCAGGCGCCTGACTGAGCTGCAGCCCTACTCACTGTGTGCGACTGCGGGTGCCCAGGACCCCCAGCTGCTGCGGGGGCACCACGCCACCCACACACACACACACACACCAGCCACCGCAGACCGAGCCCGTGCAGGTGCCGGAGTGCTTTTCCCTGGACTGGCGCCCGTGCAGATATTTGCAGGAGGCGCCGCTTGGCTCGCCCGCAGCAGGAAGCCAGCAGGCAGCTGCATGAAGCGTGAGGGATTTCAGAACTGTTTGGCTATGCAGGAAACAGCCCATGGAGCACAGGCAGGACTCTTGCAAAAGTGCCTGACAGAGTTTTACTGAGAGCGGAGAGACACGGTGCTGCTGCCGCACTGCCTTAGAGTAACTTCTACAAACTGCCCTGCCCAGTTACAGCCGTCTGCTCACAGCTATCTCTTCATCTACCCTGTCCTTGGGACCGACAGTGACGTGTAATGTGACAGGCTGAACGCTCCTGCAGAGCGCAAGATCAACCACTGCTCTTTAACAGTACTCCTTTCCTCCCTCTCCATCCTGCTTAGTCCTGCTTGGCCCCTCCATAAAATAACAGAAGAGGTTTCCGCAGCTCTTTTCCCGTCTTCCA